GCTAATTCTTTTTTTATTTTTCTAGGCATACTTCTGTTATTCATCCGAGCAACCAGAGAAGTGGATTGGAACCTTCATTTGTCATCATTTCGATCAATGATCCCTTGGTTTTTTGCGTGCGATAAAGTTAATTACGCAAGATATGGCTCAGCGTATTGGCTAGAGATGATTTCATTAGAGAAATCCCATCCAGGTACATGTGTGTTTTTGTAGTCTTATTACATTGTAGCCTATTAAAACGCTTGCTTGAAATTGGACAGCCATTCTTTTACATACAGTATATTTAATGTAGGATATGTTTATATTATAAAAGTTTACTTCTTTGTAATTTATAGGAGCTCTTCCAGAAGTTTTCGCAAACTTCGCGGTACAACGCCAGAACAATTATGGGTTTGCAGCCGTTGCGTGCGACCAAACGATCGAACAGACAGCTAACAGAGATTCTAAAACCAAGGGTGGTTTGATAGGCTTTACAATGAATCGCGCATCAGTGCATAGATGGCTCCTCTCGCAATCTGAAAGGGCTAGGATCACAGGCCAGTGCAAATATATGGCTGGAATTAACTGCAAACCACGGTAAGTTTGTATTCAATTAAGTTTGTGACCGAAAGCTGAAATTTAATAGAAATCTTTCACACCAACTATGCAAATATTTGATCAGAAATGTCAATGACAATAATAATTGTATTTCTTTAGAAACAAAAAAGATCTGGATGCAACAAAATGCCAGAATTATGAAAATTCTGTGTGCGGTGTCCTAGCAACAATTACAAGCATGATCAATCCATTTAACTCCGATCAAGATGGGCTCGTCAATATAACAAGTGGCGTTGAACTACCAAAGGATTCAGCTAAAAGTCTTCTTGACGCAGAAAAGTTGGGTGAGGGTCAATTCACTGCATTTTGCGAAGACAACCTTTTAAGCAAGAAACCTGATATATTTACCCCGATCAAGAGAAACAAAATAAGGACATTTTCAAGCAAGACCAAAACAATGACAGACAAGAAGGGCCAAACAATAGCTGTCAAATCAACCAGAAATCTCTTTGCGCGACTGTTGGTTATCTCCAAAACACACGAAATCGACTTGAAGGGACTTCTTTCCTTTAGCTTAAGTGAATTCCCACTATCCATTGCCACTGTTTCCGGAGATCTTGTGAAAACCACTAAGTCGAAGATGTTCGAAGTATTGGAGAAGACCGCAAGTAGCCCAGTAGTAGATGTAGAGAGCCTTCAAAATGGAACTGCATTAATCGTAGATGGTATGGCCGTAGTACAGGCCATGAAGGGAAAGTGGAGAACATTTGGAGAATTTGCTGATTCAGTGTTTTCCTATCTGTTGAATCTTGTAAAGCAATGGAAGGCTGTACGACTCGATTTTGTTGCAGACAGGTACCCCTCATTAAGTATCAAGAACGCAGAAAGAGCAAAAAGAGCAGCTCAAGGTGTACAGAGAGTTCACATCTACAATAAAGACCAGAATATCCCAAAACAGTGGAAAAAATACTTGAGCTGTGGAGACAACAAGGAGTCATTGGCTGTGTTTTTGTGTGGTCATTGGAGTACGTACCACTCGGCCCAAATGAAGAGTTTAGAGTCGTTCTACGTCACCTCAGCAGATAAGTGTTATTTACTTTCCCATGGCTTATCCCCAAGCGATACAGTTCAAAGGATAGAAGTTGCAGAGCTAAGATGTGATCACGAGGAAGCCGATACGCGATTACTGCTTCACTCAAGACATGCAGCCGAAGCACATGCTGAGATAATAATCAAATCACCCGATACAGATGTGTTTTTACTGTGTACAGCCATGCAGAAAACAATTGGCACGAAACTGTATCTGATGACTGGAAATGGGAACAAATTCCGTGTTATAGATGTTGCTGCCGTCTCAGACTCACTTGGAGAGGAATTGTGCGCATCCCTGCCAGGATTCCATGCCTTCTCAGGTATTTTTCTTTATTGATTTGAATATTTTAAGATAACTTTAAAAAATATTTATTTATTTTTTTCTTTGTAGGATGTGATACAACAAGTGCGTTTCTTGGTAAAGGGAAGTTAAAACCGTGGAAGGTCCTCATGCAACATCCAGAATTCTGTGCAATATTCTCCAGGCTTGGCAATCTGCCCATCCATGATGACCTGGTAGACCTCCTGAACGAGTTTATATGTTTACTGTATGGCGATGACTGCTCACGAAGTGTTGACGAGTGCAGATATAATCTTTTTAAAGCAGGAAAGTGTTCTGATGATGCGCTACCACCAAATAGTGACTGTCTGTTTCATCATATTGCTAGATCCAACTTCCAAGCTGCTTCGTGGAATCGTTGTTTATCTCCAATGTTACAGCTTCCATCTGCTGTGGGTAATGGGTGGCAATTGGAATCAGATGGGCAATTACATATATTGTGGATGACCTGTCCATCAGCTCCGGAGTCCCTTCTAGAATTTGTGCAGTGCAAATGTAAAACCGGATGTAAGACCCAAAGATGCTCTTGCTTGAAATCTGGATTGAAGTGTACTGAAGTGTGTTCCTGCTCAGAGTGCCAAAACAATCCACAAATAATGGATGGAGAAGATGAATCTGATTCTTCTGATAATGACGATGAAAATGATTATGACTGGGACGATGATGACAATATGTTTGATGATTTATCAGAATGAAGGTATGAAAACAAGTTAGTTTTCGGAATTTGAAAAAAAGAATTATTTAAAATACACACGACACGAACAAATGTAGAATGTGCAGTTAAATTGAACTCCATATCACTTATAAAAATACAACGGGCGATTTTTATTAACCAGTCGATGAAAGAACGCGACTTGCATGTAACAAATTCACCAAAAAGTATATTTTAATGTTCATTGCGTCTATCGTGCATAATGAAAAATGTAATAATGTGCTACCCAAATACTCGAATCCTAACCTCAATGCGTTAACCTTACTCTAAGGCACTTTCCTACTAAATACACAAATCTTAACCACAATGCGCTATTAAACCCTAAACATGATGCGGTAAACGTATCAGTCAAGCGCACTAAATGATTTTGCTGGCCATCAAAGTTCGATATCTTCGAAATTTTCCGAACGAAAAGGTTAAAAAGATTTATGAAAACATTCCTATTTCTTTAAAACGCCTTAGTATTTTTAAAACAGTAAAGGGGACCGGCATTTTACAAGGCCTGTAAGTACTTATGAGCCGGGATTGTCAGCGGATACCCCCTCTAACATAGCAACTGCGCGTGCGCATACAATAAAATCCAAGATGGCGGACATCAAAACACGAGTAAAAAATTTCGAACTTTCGAGGGTTTTTACTAAAAAACAGCAGGATTTCAGAGGTGCCAACAAGCATATTTGTATTCAGTAGGTAAAAATCTATAGATTTAAGTTGTTTTTAAGTAGACCCCGTAAAGTTTATATTTTTTGAACGATAATCGACTTCAGAATACGGCCTATAGGTGCATTTACCACATTATATAGACTATATACACAGATTTATCACACTAAGAAACCAAAACTTTATAAAAAATATAGAACTGACAGTGGCCAAAGTCCAAAACAAATGTAAGCGTAACATTAGACGTCACATGAAAAAGCTTTAGAAATTCGATAAAAATTCGATGGTGGGTCCTCGCGCGCTCACTTTTCCCTCACTAGAAACAACTTCATGTATTAACCAACAGGGGGAATCTCGGGGCCTCATCTAGCGTATTATTTTATATAAGTTTACTTGTAGGCGAAACGCCAGAAATTTTTTTTGCAGGGCACCGCATTTTAGTACTGTGTCTGGTTTACAGTACGTGTCGGAATATTAAAAGTCAGGCATAATTTGTGGTGAGATTATTAAACTACCTTGACTATTGCTATATTAGTCACAAGAACAACCTTGACTATTGCTATAGTAAAACTCGGAAATGTATGAAATGACTAATACTTTCTGTCTATACAGGTATATTCTACAGTATACTAATTTCACAGTCAATAATGCTTCATTCGACCTGTAACATGAGCCCTGTTTGCAAAAGCATCAACACTGGCTGATTACAGCCCCTATAATCTTGGTTAAGAAAAGCAATCTTTCAAAAATCTGTTCAAATAATACTGGGAATGTCATTTCAGAAACTCAAATTTTAAGACATTGTGGGGAGGGTGTTTGATGCTGGAACATACAAATTACCTGCTGTGAGTTCCAAGCTTCCAAGTCTCGTGCATGATGACCAGTCATGCCAGTCAACCTTCACAACTATGGCAATGTTATCTGCTGAAGCTGAGGGCTGGATACAGAAATCGTTTTAACCCATTGAGTTGCATTGCGCCCTGATGTGCCCTCCTTTAGTATTTTACTCTGTCTAACGCCAGAGTATTTTACTCTGTCTAACGCCAGAGTATTTTACTCTGTCTAACGCCAGAGTATTTTACTCTGTCTAACGCCAGACGATTTTACTCGTCAAGGGGAGAGCGCTGGCGCTTAATGGGTTAACTGGCCTATCTGCCCATGTGTCTAGTTAACCCATTGAGTTGCATTGCGCCCTACTTTAGTATTTTACTCTGTCTAACGCCGGAGTATTTTACTCGTCAAGGGGAGAGCGCTGGCGCTTAATGGGTTAACTGGCCTATCTGCCCATGTGTCTAGTTAACTGGCCTATCTGCCCATGTGTCTAGTTAACCCATTGAGTTGCATTGCGCCCTGATGCGCTCTACTTTAGTATTTTACTCTGTCTAACGCCAGACGATTTTACTCGTCAAGGGGATAGCGCTGGCGCTTAATGGGTTAATATACAAATGCAAGAGCAAGTACAGTTGCAGAGAGTTTTGTAGGACAGCCATGCATACTAGAAGTTATGTCACCTACAGACTATTTTTCAATATCGGAGGCAGCAAGAGTGCAAGACATTGATAATCATTTGTAGATTCTTAGCCAATCACCATGGAGCTTGCATATGCATTGTACAATAATATATCTTTTTATTACTATTAAAGTTAGCCTGTGTTTCTTCTTATTACTATTAAAGTTAGCTTGCATTTGGGCCTGTTTATATGATCCCGCCTAGACGGGATACTCGCCTAGTGTTTATATGGACAAAATACATTGCCGGGATGAAGCCACTTAAGTGCTTGACGTCATATTTTTGTTGCAATAAAGGCATTTACGCATGCTCAAAAGGGAAAAATTCATCCCGCCTAGCCTGGATGAAGTGTTTATATGGGAATTTCTCGTCCCGGCTAGGCGGGATGAAGTGTTTATATGGGAATTTTTCATCTCGCTCAGGTGGGATGCTGGTATATGTTGCCGAGATCCCGTCTAGGCGGGATAAGTGGCGGGATCATATAAACACTCTTTGGAATTTGTATTACGAGCGGGATCTCGGTAAGCATCCCGTCCCGCCTGGCTGGGATCATATAAACAGGCCCTTTGTGTTTGGGGAGTTAAAGTTTACCGGCTAGCCACATGTACGCACTGCGTACCTATTTTTTAAGCTATTTAAAGCACTTGTATAGTCGTGTTTTATCACATAAAAAACACTCCGCTACGCGTCGTGTTTTATATGTGATAAAACACTCCTATACGCGTGCTTTAAATAGTACATAAAACACGAGAGCGCTGCTTCAGTGTTTTATATCTGATAGAGCACTGACTGCGAGTGTTTTAAATGGCTTAAAAAACGACCACTCTATTGAGTTCATTGGCGAAGTAATTTTAAGAATAAACGTTGTCTAAAACGAACAAATCAAAGTTAAAGTTTATGTAAATGAACCTGATTTTTTATCACATATATTTATAAAACAACCGACACGGCAGTGATTTCTTTTGTCTTTTCCTCATGAGTTATTAATGAGTTTTTTAAGATACATATGTGAGTGGTTCAAGTAAAAATGAAACGTTATGCACAACATACGAAAAATGACTTTTTTACTATTTCATAACCAATATAATGCCGGTCAACTATTAAAAATGCTAAATGCATGCGCTACCAGGATTCATAATAAAGTTTCTCAAACGTGCTCTGATCGTAAAATTTCGGAAAAAAGTTCTCTGATCGAGTTAAAAAAAGTTATTTCCGTATACTGTATATAACTGAACTTAGATTGTCGATGCGATTCAATGATGAGGTTGTTTGGAATCAGACTAAACATGTAGATAATATTAGGAAACTTGATGTATAATAAAGGCTTTCCTTGTAATTAATTAGTATATCTTAGTTTCATTGTTGTTCGTGTGAATACCTTAGTTTATTGTTACAACTCTAGTAACTACACCGGACTTGACGAAAAGCACTTTTTACAGTATTTATTTATTAGTTGACTAGTTACTGAGTTAAAAAAACTTTAAAATGATAATAATGGTCAAATAATGATTATACTAATAAGATAAAATAATAACATGTCACGTCAAAAAATGTGAAGCGGTCAGTGATAATCCAATAGTCCTTACAACCATCAATTACGACAGTGATTAACACAATTGAAAGTTTTTTTATCTGCATGCCATGCCTTAGAGCCAAGCAATAGAGCATTTAAGAAAAATTGAAGCGTGCCAGTATCAGAAAATACAATATTTTAATTTAAATTTAACACCAATATACATCATAAATTCATAATATCAATGTTCTTAGAGTCGTAATGACATACAAATAGAAAAATCCACGTCTATTGATTACGCGATTACTTTGTCTTTATAGATATCACAGTCCTTCACTTTGCAGCATCATCTGGTTCACTGGAAAATGTCAAATGTTTAGTTGAACATGGTGCTGATGTAAATTGTGAGAGGCGTAACTTTGGTAGTGCTCTTCACGCTGCAGCGTTATCTGGTTCACTGGAAATTGTCAAATATTTAGTTGAACATGGTGCTGATGTAAATTGTGAGAGGCGTAATTTTGGTAGTGCTCTTCACGATGCAGCGTTATCTGGTTCACTGGAAATTGTCAAATATTTAGTTGAACATGGTGCTGATGTAAATTGTGAGAGGCGTAATTTTGGTAGTGCTCTTCGCGATGCAGCGTTATCTGGTTCACTGGAAATTGTCAAATATTTAGTTGAAAATGGTGCTGATGTAAATTGTGAGAGGCGTAACTTTGGTAGTGCTCTTTACGATGCTGCGTTATCTGGTTCACTGGAAATTGTCAAATATTTAGTTGAAAATGGTGCTGATGTAAATTGTGAGAGGCGTAACTTTGGTAGTGCTCTTTACGATGCTGCGTTATCTGGTTCACTGGAAATTGTCAAATATTTAGTTGAAAATGGTGCTGATGTAAATTGTGAGAGGCGTAACTTTGGTAGTGCTCTTTACGATGCTGCGTTATCTGGTTCACTGGAAATTGTCAAATATTTAGTTGAAAATGGTGCTGATGTAAATTGTGAGAGGCGTAACTTTGGTAGTGCTCTTTACGATGCTGCGTTATCTGGTTCACTGGAAATTGTCAAATATTTAGTTGAAAATGGTGCTGATGTAAATTGTGAGAGGCGTAACTTTGGTAGTGCTCTTTACGATGCTGCGTTATCTGGTTCACTGGAAATTGTCAAATATTTAGTTGAAAATGGTGCTGATGTAAATTGTGAGAGGCGTAACTTTGGTAGTGCTCTTTACGATGCAGCGTTAGCTGGTTCACTGGAAATTGTCAAATATTTAGTTGAATATGGTGCTAATGTAAATTGTGAGAGGCGTAACTTTGGCAGTGCTCTTCACGCTGCAGTATTATCTGGTTCACTGGAAATTGTCAAATATTTAGTTGAATATGGTGCTGATGTAAATTGTGAGAGGCGTAATTTTGGTAGTGCTCTTCACGCTGCAGCATTATCTGGTTCACTGGAAATTGTCAAATATTTAGTTGAACATGGTGCTGATGTTAATTGTAAAAAGCGTGTCGTTGGTACTCCTCCTAAGTCTACAGTATCATCTGGTTCACTGGAAATTGTCAAATATTTAGTTGAACATGGTGCTGATGTAACAAATGAAGAAATTCTAATTCTGGCTTGTGAACATGGAAATGCGCTAGTTGTTGACTACCATTTCCAACATCTGGAACTGAAGAAGTCCAATAAACATCGCGAAAAAATTCAGGTTTTGAAAGCAATGGACGATGAAAACTTCGCAAAGGTAATTTACTTTTTTATTACGTGCAAAGCAAAAAGAAACGGGATCTTTAAACCTTCTATTTATTGCTTTCTATTTTTGGTTTATAAAGAGCAGATTACGTGGTGCGAGTTGGCTTTGTTTGCCCGTTTAATCGAGGGACCTACTTCATAGATTTATTATATGTTGTTTTAAGATTTCAATTACATGAAGGTGATATGATCACTTTGCCAGTCGTCCAAGTTGAAAATTTTGCATTTTGGCCATGTAACTGATTATTGCCCCAACTTTTACAAAGAAAATGGCAGATAAATTAATTATATATAAAACATCAGGAGTGAAACGGATATTAAAATTTGACGGAGTTAACTCAGTCATTTGCCAAAATTACTTCGAATTCAACTCAATGTGGAATTAAATATGTATAAGTTTCATATCCTATTCCTACCTATGCGTCGAAAACGTTTTAAATCTGCTTACGTGCGTCGGTCTAACCCTGGTCTGATTAAATTTGCCACAATCGCTGCGTAATTTTAAAGGGTAAAGTTTTCATATTTTATCAAAAAATTCCTGCCCATGGGCCGTAAAACACCGTCGTCCATGTTTGGTATCAACAAGAAGCTTAGGGCCCAGGTTTTTTCATAGTGGTTTACATAGGATAGCTGTGTATCCGGAAAATTTTGAAGTCGTTTTTACCATGCGTATTGCTTCGTATCTCATTGTAATGAATTAAAAGGTCGGTAAAAGGCTGACATCAACCTCGTGTTCAGGCTCTTTCCACTACGCTACGCCGAGTCGCTGGAGGAAAGAGCATGGTCCAGGCTGGTTACGTGTCTCCCATATTAATATTTTGGGAGATAACAATTGGGACTTATTGGGGGAAGGGATAGGCCAATGTGGCGGTCGAGTTGCTAAACGAGTTCGAAACAATACAAGGAATGTGTATAAAGGAACGCAAAAAACTAGCAAGATATGTCAAAACGGTTATTGTAAGGCACGAAGTTGTTAATTTGGACGAAGTTGTTAAGTTGTTAATTGGCTGGACGTTTGAAATTAGTATAGGTAATCGTACGATGGCGAGTACAATTAGGGATTAATATTTGCTAAAATTGGACGAGGCGCCGGGGCGAGTCCAATTTAGCAAATTTCCAACAACATCGCATGATTACTTGTTGATTATTAGCAGGAAAAAATTGGATACTTCTCAATGTTAACGTCATATATTCTCTCGCCAATGGCCAGTCCTGCCAGACTTTCAACCAAATTTTTGCTGCTTTTGTCCTTATTTTCATTTAATTCTTTTGTTAAAGCAAAATTTGGTGCTTTTGTTCGTATTTTCATCTAGTTCCTTTTGTTTGTTTTGGAAAAATCATTAATTGTACTGCAGTACAATTAATGAAATAATTGTACTCCTCTCAACCAATCAGCATCCAGTAATTTTGTCATGCTAATAATAAAACCCTTAAACGTTTGTGTATTGTCGGTAGATGTTCCTCTCGAAGCTCACACGCCTCACTCAACAACACAACCTCTGAACCTTGGGTTCAGTTTTATATTAACAGGGGAAGGAAGAATATTGTGCTTGACAGAACATTTATTGTTGAATGTTGTGTTTGGTATAACATTTATTTTACCGGACTCATGATTGAATTTTACTTGATGTTTGTGAGCCATTAAATAACCGCTGTTCACGTAAAGTAGTAAGTGTTCGATTTTCCAATTTTGCTGGCCTTTGACAACTCTAAAGAGCAAAGAGAGATCGAGTACACTATATGATTTTCAAAATTTAATAACTGAACATGTTCAATGAAGAATAAATTAAATAGTGCATTAATAGTTAACGTATATTTAACATTTAGTTGCGAAGGCGATGTGATTGCAAGGCGACTAGTTGTTTTAGTATAATTTCAGTATTGAAAAAGTTCTATTTATAATTTTCAAACTCAATAATTCATGAGCAAAACAAAGGAAATCACAACCATATCGTTGTCTTGATATAAGATGGTAATAAACGTCCATAAATTAACTCGACTTTCGTGTTGAATTTCTCGCTAAGTACGAATTCGTTTGAAAAGCAGTATAATAAACTCGAAATTGTTTATTACCGTCGACACACTTTTTGATGTTTTATATATACACCCTGCCTCGTACCCAGGCGTCTCTTTGTAAAAAAACAGTGATGCGCATATGACGTGTTTACATGAAGTATTGTAGTGGGGAGAGATGGCGAAGGGGCTGATGGGAAGAGTGCACTTGAACTGCGAGACGCCTGGCAGTTCTTGGTCGATTTCTTGCAAATTTGTACGATTTCTTGCAAGTTGTGCTATTTCGTTGTCGTTTACGATTTTTTGCTACTTGTTTTTGTTGAATTGACTAATGTTAATATTCTTCTGTCATCCGGGCGTGAATTCATGCTGTTATTCTTGGTATATATGACATATATATGCCCTTTAAGTCCATGAAAATTCCAATATTAACATGTCAACAACCGAAGCGTTGAAGAACTAGACTTGCAGGAACTAGATTTGTAAGCTATAACTATATAAAGGTACAGACTATAAAATTGCACTATTGTAATAAATATTTCAAACTTTACGGCTGTGAACTTTTATTTACTTTGGCTTTTGTTTACAGTATACATTTAATAGAAATTGCCATTGGCATTGTGATCGACTGATTGAGCTTTCAGCTAAAGAAGTTATTAATACAAAGCAATTATATGACTTTCTA